GTGGTATGTGTACACGGACCTGCTTGGTTGGGAGTTGCTTCTTGGCCTCCTGCTGGCCCAGATCACAGCAGGACCATTCCAGACTCAGAGCTAAAGGGCCGGGGGTGCCCCGTGAGGCTCCCGGCCCACGCACCTTGCAGCCGCCGGCTCAGCTCCTTGGTGAAGAGGACGACAGCCAGCTTGCTCTGGCAGTAGGCTGCTTTGGTGTCATACTTCTTCTTCTCCCAGTTCAAGTCGTCAAAGTCGATGTGCCCAGCAACGTGGGCCAAGGAAGAGACGTTGATGATCCGCGAAGGGGCCGAGGCCTTCAGTTTGTCCAGCAGCAAGTTGGTCAGAAGAAAGTGACCTGGATGAAGAAAAGCAGTTTGGGAAGGGTTCTGGGTCACCTCCCCCGTGCCAGGGCAGTGCTGAGACGACCACCCGTGATGGACTGAACTGTGGTCCCCAAAAGCATGTGCTATAAGTCCTGACCTCTATACCTCCACGACACTCACCAGTGTTTACCCAAATAACGCGCGCGTTATACGGCGTTATACCTACCCTCTTTTTCTGGCAACTGTACACCCCCTTGCATGTTAGTTCCTGTATTACATGCATGTGTGTTATTTCACTGGCACGTTATGCGCTAAAAAGAGGATGCTCGTGATGGTGACGATCAAAGACGTCAGCCGTCAGCACAGCTTACACTTCAACAGAAAGAAAACACAAATGCTCACAACGGGACCAGTAGAAACATCATGATAACAGAGAAAAGACAGAGGTTGTTGGGGATTACATTTTCCTTAGATCCACAATCAACACCCATGGAAGCAGCAGTCAAGACATCAGACAGCATATTGCATTGGGCAAATCTGCAGCAAAAGACCTCTTTCAAGTGCTGAAGAGCAAAGATGTCTCTTTGAAGGCTAAGGTGCAGCTAACCCAAGCCATGGTATTTTCAATTGCCTCATATGCATGTGAGAGCCGGACAATGAATAAGGAAGACCAAAGAAGAGTTGATGCCTTTGAATCACGGTGCGGCAAAGATACTGAAAGTACCATGGACTGCCAGAAGAACGAACAAATCGGTCCTGGAAGAAAGAAGTGCAGCCAGAGTGCTCCTTGGAAGTGAGAACGGCCAGACTTCGTCTCACCTACTTTGGTCATGTGATCAGAAGGGACCAGTCCCTGGAGGATGTCATGCTGGGTAAGGTGGGGGCTCAGCGAAGAAGAGGAAGGGTCTCAGTGAGACGGATGGACACAGGGCTGCCGCAACGGGCTCAGGCACCAATGACTGTGAGGACGGTGCGGGACCAGCAGTGTACACGGGGCCGTCAGGGTCGGAACTGACTCAGTGTCACCTGACCACAAACACCTCTGGTGATGCTCTCCCATTTGGGACCGGATTTTCTTTGCCATGGTAACAACACAGTATCAGTATAGGGCGTGTCTGAAATCAGTCAAGGAAGAAGACAAGTGGAGACAGAAGACAGACGCCAACCGACATGAAGCTCATGGAGACAAGGACCTCTCCCCTCAGACAGAGAGAGCCAGTGCCCTGAATTCAGAGTTCTAGCCTCCTAAACGGTGAGAAAATACATTTCTGTCCATGGAAGCCACCCCCTTTTGGTATTTCTCTTACAGCAGCACAGGGAAACAAAGCCAGCCCTCCCTGTAACAGGTTCTCAGCCAGGGACGATTCGGCCACATCCGCAGACTGTGGACTCTCACCACTGGGGGGTGCTACGGGCTCCGGCTGTTGTTAGCTGTGGCCGAGGTGGGCCTCGTGGACAGAAACTAAGGATGCTGGTCAACGTCTCACAGAGCACAGGACAGCGCCACCACCACGGCGAGCCAGCCTCTGCCCTAGGAATCGAGCCCCGTGCTACAGCTCCCCCCCAGGGTGAGTCTATAGAGGCTTATGAGTGAACACTGTGAAACCTTTCCAGCAGTCTGACAGGGTGTGCTCCTTAAAGAGTCCTGGTGGCACAATGGTGGGTTAATGGCTCGGTGCTAACCACAAGGTTAGTGGTTCTAATCCACCCAACGACCCCACGAGAGAAGGACCTGGTGATGTGTTCCCATAAAGATTAAACCAAAAACCAAACCCACTGCCCTGGAGTCCATTCCGACCCACAGCGCCCCTAGAGGACAGAGTGGAACTGCCCACAGGGTCTCCCAGGCTGTCAGTCTTCACAGAAGCAAAGCCCAAACCACACCCACTGCCTGGAGTCCATTCTGACCCACAGCGCCCCTAGAGGACAGAGTGGAACTGCCCACAGGGTCTCCAAGGCTGTCACCTTTATGGAAGCACACTGCCACACCTTTCTCCTACAGAGCAGCTGATGGATTTGAACCACCAACTTTTTGGTTAGCAGCTGAGTGCTGAACCACTGCACCACCAGGTCTCCTCCCCCCATGATGATGACAGCCTAGGAAACCCCGTGGGGCAGTTCCACTGTCACATGGGGCCACTGTGACTTGGAATTGACACTATAGCACCCGACCACAGTATGCTCGGTAGAGCTGACCACCCGAAGTGTTTCATTTATCTTTGGCTTTCATATCCGTTTTCTAATAATTTCCATTATGTCTGACAAACATGCGGCCATGTCTGTTTGGAATTGTCTTAAAGAAAGACAAACACTAGTACTTCTCCCACAGAGCCTGAGGAGCCTTAACCTCTCTCCTGCATGACCACTGCGGCTTCTCAGTCACCTATGTGTGACTTCACTGACGGCCTCTTTTTCCAGAGTTTTCCATGCTTATACATCAGGCTTTCCCGGCCCTGGCATAGTGACATTCGGGGCTGGGTGCCGGCTGTCCCGTGCTTGGAAGGACACTGAGCATTCCCGGCCTCCACCACCAGGTGGCAGTAGCCCCCCGCACGCCCAGGTTGTCCCACCGAGCGGACTGTGACTGGCTGAGGGGGCAGACGGGCCGCGCTGGGTGTTACAGGCTGTCGGACGGAAGCACCGCAGTGAGCGAGGATGGGGCGGGGCCAGCGCCGTCCCGTTCTGTGGCACGCGGGGTCGCCGTCCGTCGGAACCGAGTCGGCGCCACCTCAAAACAACCTCAATGGGAGCAGATCACCAGGTCCCTCTCCCGTGGAGCGGCTCAGTGCGTGTGCACTGCGCCCCCGTCGGTCGGCGGCAGAACCTGTGAGACGACTACGCGTCCCCAGACACTACCCAACGTCCCCAAGTGAAGAACCACCGTCATTTCATGCGACACGTACCTTCGGGGTAATGTGTGTTGAACGATGAGCGGGAGCGAGGCGGGGCGGATGCCAAGGCCAGACGGGCCCTCAGTCCGCGCCCCCCACCGCCTTCCTGGGGGAAGGGCACCGTCCGGCCCAGGCCCTGCGCCCCCCGCCCAGCGCCCAGCTCCCAGCCGGCATCGGCCGGTTCCCCGCGGCTTCCCCCCCGGAGCCACAGCACACTGCCCTCCACTCCCCGCAGTGAACGGGGCAGGGCTGGAGGACGCCCCGTCGGCCATGTGCCCACAACGGCCTGGCACACGCACGGGGCAGCAACCGGCGGGCGTGGAGGGTAACGGGGTGTGCGCCCCCACACTGAAGGCCCCGCAGCAACCTCCTTCCTGTGTCACCTCTGCACCCGCACCCCGTGCTGCTCAGTGCGTCCACTGCAGCCCACGACGCAAGGCCACTGTCACACACGCTCACGCACGCCTTGTCACGCGTGTGGTGAACACACACGTGACAAACATTCTGCCGTTTCAACAGCCCTCACACACAGTTCAGCGACAGGAACTGTTCTCATCTGTCGTCCAGCAGCCCCCTTCCTGGCCGTGAAGACAAAGGCCGAGCTCCCGGCATGGCCACCAAGGGCCTGGGTGGGCAGGTTCCACTGGCCCCGCCGGCCTCTTCTCCCTGCCTGCGGTCACTGCTCTCAGCTCTGGTCACAGTGGCCTCCTCACTGCTCCCAAGGACACTGAGCCAGGCCTCGGGAGAGCGAGGAGGCCGCGCCAGGGGGACGCTGTGTCTTCCCGCCTCTGTCAGCAGCCACCTCCTCAGGGAGGCCCTCCCAGAGCTCGCAGCCCAGGCCAGGGACTGACGACGGGGGACTGCCCCAGAGACAGAGAGGCTGGAGGACTCCCTGAGAGAAGGGCAGACAGACAGACAGAGACTGAAGGACTTACTAAGGGACTGAGGACAGATGGACAGAGTGAAGGACAGCCAGAGACACTGAAACAGCGGTTGACAGAATGAAGGCCTGACGAATGGAGACATCAGAGGATATCCCGAGGGTTTGAAGGACTGACAGACTGGGACTGAAGGACGGCCAGAGAAGGCCAACAGTTACTGAGGGGACAACCAAAGGGCTGAGTGAGTGTCCCGCTGACGACCGGTCAGCAAACAAGCGAACCCTGACATCTGGCCGAGGGACTCACCGAGGGGCAGACCCGGCGGCCTTGGCGAGTGGCCAAGGATGCATCCTAGGGCCTGGACCACCCACGAGGGGCCCCTCAGACCCCAGGCTGAGACCACCCACAGCGCGGCCCCGCCATGCGCACCCAGGTGATTCACGCCTAACTGCATCTCGAAGCCGTCCTCAGTGGTCCAGTGTGGGCACCGCATCACGGCCGCGTTGTTGATCAGAACGTTCACATGCTGTTCCTCTGCAAGACAGGGCCGAGGGGACACGCCTGAGTCCCACCCCGGTGGGAGGCACGGCCCGTGGACCAAGGGTCCCACCTCAGTTCCCTGCTGCTGCTGTCAGAGAACCACCACCAGGGGGCGGCCTGACAGAAATTGATCGGCTCAGTTGAGGAGGCTGGAGGTCTGAATTCAGGGCGCTGGCTCTCGGGACAGGCTGTGCCCTGTGGCCCTCGGGGTAGGTCCTTGGCTCTTTTCGGCTTCTGTTCCCCCGTGTGGCACCTACCTTTCCTGTTCAGCTTCCTTCTCTGTCCTTTTCCGTCTCAGGAGCTAGATTTAAGACACGTCCTACACCAATCCCACCCCGTTAACATGCAGAGAAAACCCACTCCAGATGGGATTATAACCACAGGCATCAGCCAAAAGACCACACCCACAGCCCTCCAACCACAGCGCCCCTAGAGGACAGAGTGGAACTGCCCACAGGGTCTCCAAGGCTGTCAATCTTCACAGAAGCAAAGCCCAAACCACACCCACCGCCATGGAGTCCATTC